ATCATGTAGCTATTCATTACAAGGTTCATGTGATTGTTTAGAAATATGAATGTAAAAGCACAGTCAGAGCAAACGTTGAGTCTCTAGAAACATATGGAAAACAGAATGTTTAGCACTGAGGATACATACACACGACAGATGAGAAATGCATCGGATACATTATTCTAAAATTGTTCGAAAAAAACTGTTTCGAGATTTTACATAAAATAAGATGTTTACTGATTTTTGTCGCTTTTAAAAAATGAGCATCATATCTGGGAATTGGTTTATGTAATTTAACTCCATGCTAGCAATTAATAATGTCAGGGACGGACATGACATGCACACAATATTTTATATTCAAGCAGCTCCTGCATATATAGGAGACTTTATCAAATAATTCATTCAAGAACGTCTAATGACCGCAATCCCCTCTGTATGAAGAACAATTAAAAAAGAACAACGGAGCCCGAAAATGAAATCGGTCAAAAATTAACAAAGGCATGTAATGTATAATATGTTACCAAATTTTTCGAGTCGTTATTATTCGTAACAAGCACTTATAAGTGAAAACGGTTTCGCTTGAATCATTTACACTATTTTTTTCTATTTCAGTCGAACTCAGCAGTGGTTTTTCTATCTAGAGCACTGACAAGTTATGTCGTCTATCTTGACATCCACATTCCAGAAGTGTCACTTTCTTCCAAAACATTTTTCATCGCTGCTCGTCGAGAGCTGGTCAGCATCATCAATGAACTCTATCAAAGGATGTGTGAACTTCGGCTTTGTTCGGATGGCTCCGTAAACACTGATAGCCAAACGATACGGAACTGGACGGAAAGGGACGAAGCCTCCCGTCTGATTCGTGACTGGGTCGTATGGGAAAATCTTAAAGAACTAATAGAAATTTCTCTTTCAAACGTATTATGGAGTCATTCGGATTCATGATTACGTTTTAATAATAGACTCATTTGAGTGAATTAGACGATGACGTATTTATTAAATAAACCAACCAAAGCCATATGTGTTTTAAGCAATTATATAAGTTAATTTGGACATTACTTATGTGAATTAATATTATTTGATTATGAGAATAAAATTGTTCGTATTATACCCGTATCTTGACAACTTTTCCAAATATACTGTATACTTTTATGCTATAAAAATGTGCAGCACACGACAGCTTTCGCAAAAAATGTAAAGAATCAACCACAAAACCGATATTTTTAAAACATTGCGCAATCATTCTTGAATCAATTAAGAAAAAGACTTGAGGACTGAAAGAAAAAATAAGTGGTAAAAACGTCACAGTCACGACGCATTAAACAGATTATGGTTTAGAATTTAATGATGACGGATGAGCGTAAATTAGAGTTATTCCCAAAGCTCTGAATCCCGAGATGGCGACGACACTATAGGCCTACTGTGGAATGAATGCAGGCGAATCAGCTTTGAACATAACTGCCATGCTATGTCTTACCTTTGCCTTCCTATCTGTAGGAAACACTTTGACAAAGCTTCTTTCCTTGCAAATAATTTAGATAGTATGGTAGCCAGAATGAAAAAGCAATCTCATTGACTTCAGTTTAAAAAAATTGCCTTCTTTGCGAATATTTATCCTATAATACTTATAAAGTACACAGCATATAACACACTTCTCCAAACAAATAAAAAAGATAAAGGGCAAGTATATGCAAGATATTTTAACATTTGGAATATGAATACCCGTCTGATGTACACGTAAAACAAACCAAATGTTCCTGGCAGACCGCAAAATGCTATTGTGGCCTCCTGCAAACAGGCTAGCAGCCAACCAATTAACGGCCGATCAGGTCAGTTTATTCGTCCAAGATCAAACGTGAAGGTGAAATAATAACAAACTGACCCCTGGATAGAATTTATTTAGGTATACACCGTTGTTTCAGCTTACCATTATATGGTTATTCTCTGCAGTTTAAATCAGCTATAGGTTCAATCATTGCCGTTGTGGTAATCCGTAGTTATGGTAGGTCGACGTTCGATTAAAAAAATGTTAGAAGAGATATAAAAAAATTTTCAAAAAAAAAAAAAAAAAAAATAATAATAATAATAATAAGAGAACTATGCCAAGTTGAAATGCAAAATTACGCACTGGTCCTCATTCAAATCAATGGGAAAATGAGTGTTCTATCACTAAATCGTTTTTTTTTTCCTGGTCGTCGCAAACAGTTTCTAAATTATGATTACAGGACAACTCCTTCCTACTATAAAAGCCATATATGAATGGTTACATAATTTTTCTTGATTCTGTTTCTCGACTTACAATTTACATATAAAAATATGCAAAAAAATCTTTTACGAGACAGGGCATAACAACGTCACTCGGAACAAAGGTTTGTGTGACATCCACTCGCTCCGAGGTCGTACCATGACGCATATAGAAAAACCTACGCACGCGTTTTTCACCAAGCTAAAAAATATAAAACAGACAAGGTAGTACTACTAGTAGGAAGAGTGAGAATTTTTTAGAACCATAGATATTAGTTTGTTCTGTCAAAGAAAATACTGCATATAAAAATAAGCATGTCCACTGGTACGTGACAGACTTAAGTTTTTCCTGCTCATTGAAATAAAGCGACCGAGAGTTCATGCATCGTTTCTTTTACCATGAAGTCTCTAATACAACTTTTTCTGACAGATTAAATAATTAAAATAAAAATTACGAAACATTTCATTTTGATAACGTCATGAGTGTTTCATTGTTGCCCGCTAAGGGAGAGACCGACGCAGTGGCGGATTTAGAGGGGGGGGGGGGGTTCGAAAGGTCCTGACCCCCCCCCCCCTTCGATTTCTGAAAAAAATCTCACCAATGGTCTCTCCTTGAAATTAGAATTTTGGCTAGCTGAATCATGGTTCTAAACCGTACCAAATGGCATCGTTCACCCTCTAAAATACCAAAAAATTTCGGGGCCCTTCAGCGTGCCCCGAACCCCACGCCAGGGGGGTGGGGGTGGGGGGTGGCGGGCGAGGGTTGGCTACGCATTCGCGGCCGGTCAAACCTAAAAACCGTATCCCCCTTCAAACAATCCTGGATCCGCCCCTGCGTCGTTACCTTTCAAGAAGTCTAAAGGCAATAAAGACAACAATAAAGATGTAAAAATCGATATCATAGTACGACATCATCAGGTAGCAAACAGTCAGGTAGTTACTTTTTGATTTCTATCCAATCATGATAGATCTGCAGCGCGTGTTCAGTGACAACCTAAATTATAAGAATAACATTTGTTTATACAAAGGAAAATGCCCCTCTCGTCAACTTCCTGTCCATGTTACCCCCTTCTTTCTTGGATTTGCTATTGTTAAAATCAGAATAAACAGTCTTCAACACTAAAAAGGTGACGTAAATCATGTGCCTCCTTGCTGAATTATCGGTCTAAAACTTTAGTCATTTCTTACGTAGGCCTACACATTTGGTAAAACGGTACAGTATGCTCGACCTCATTCAAGTGGACAACAATTGGTTAAACTGTGAGTGACAGTAGACTAAAATATAGAAAATAGAGTTAAGCTTTTTTTCTGTAAAACAGGCCCCAACACAGACACGCCGTGTCGAATTCGCGGTCTACGTCACACGAGGCGAGTTGCAGTTGAGCCCAACGGATCATTTCGAACTCATCTTGGGCATCAGTTTAATATAACGCTACTTTGCACAATAACCGTTTTATTGTCTTTTAGAGCACTTCAAATGATTTCAAATAAAATAGACGAGTTTAAATAGACTTCACAAAAACAGTTTTTTTTGTTGTGAACTTTATTTCGTTATAAATACTGTGACCCTTACTCTAAATACAAACTACACAGAAGTCCAACATGTGGCTCCACCTCTCGTGAGCCCGCGTAATTACAACTTCCTTTTGCAACGTAAAAGGCACAAAATGTGAACGTAAAGAATATAAGTGAAAAGAGGAGTAAATACAATATATTGCAGTGTTTTTACAGTTTATCCTCGCTTCTCCTTATGAAATATTACAATAATATAATACTAAGAGGAATAATATCATCACTGGTGGCGACTAAATAAAATGTTTCATTCTAAAAACAATTTACAATAACTACTTTTGCTAAATTACACAAGCATAACATAAATAATAATCGTAATAATATCTAAATTGGTCCACTTAAAGTTAAGAATATATTACTTATTTACACCTAAAAATGAATGCATTGTGCATTGAAATGCATAGTATGGTACGCTGCAAGCTAAAAGTATTTCCAAATGGCACGATAGTATTTTATACCCTTTGGGGAGTTTAAATGCATTTACTTCCACACAAATTTAGCTTAATGAAATAAATAGATTCATTGTAATGCTAACTATGCATCCATGGCCGAAGTTGAAGTTCTGGGTGAAACAAATGTTTAAGAAAATGTGCTATTGACTTGACTGTAGATGTAAATGCATGTCAAGGTGAAGTCAATGAAGTCTTATAATAGTATCAGACAAGGTCTTACTAAATGCAGCAATGTAAAATATTTGTTCAGGAACTCCCATGAACATCTGTTGGTCAATGCTACTAGACAAAATGCAGAGCATGCAACAAAATTGGCCAAGAGACACCTGAAGTTGAAAATCATTCGTTGTTTCCATACAAAAGAAATGCTTTTCTTACAGTTAAATCATGATGTTAACCATAAGAATAAAATATAATTTGACTGAAATTGCACAGATATATCTATCCTTGGGAAAAATCATAAAATTCAAGGATACTCTTCGTTGGCAGAAACTACAGTAAAACAAAATGCATAGGTTTTCATTTGCACCAAAGGATTTAAAAAGGTTCAATTTGGATTTGGAATTCAGTGACTAAAAAGTTATATGCCAATTTCAATTACATAATTTGGGAAACTGAAATTTGGGAGTTCGCAGTTTTTGAAAAATAAATACAAAGCAGTATTTGAAAAAATAAATAAATGAAAGTCATCTCCCTGTTAAAATAAGCAAAATTTGGCAGTTACAGTATAGGCACTTACTGTAAAAAAAAAAAAAAAAAAAAAAAAAAAAAAACATCTTAACAAGTAACGCAACTGCTATGCTCAATAATTCCTCTCAACTTACAATTATTTCTAAATTACATGAATTATATAAAATACCTTGTGACAATGCTAAGAGCATGTAAAAATATAACTGCTGCACTTTTATTACAAGACTAGACCTAATCTTTTTTTATTTACAACCATTAATCATTGCAGCTGTACACAAATTCATTGCAAGTGCACATCTGGCTACTTTTGAATACTTTCCGCATTTATATGTACAGCTCCTCTTTTTAAAATGGCAAAACACATTTTGAGTACTTACACAATATAAAGAACCGAGTTCTATTAAATCCAACATGATCTGTTAGGTATATACTTAATTTACAAAAATATCTTATTCTTTGCCATTTCTCAAATTAAGCACTTCTGACCAAGCAATCTTAGGTTCAACTTTTTTCCCCATTACAAAAAAAGCACATCTTTAAGTAATCTCTAGAGTAACACCCTGTGGTCCAAGAAGAACTTATTGCAATGACCTAAGTACTACTAGCCATGCTTTGCCTTTCAGAATCTGTTGAAGAGCTTGAAAAACAGTTACCTATATACAAAATTGCATCTTGGCTCAGTGATGGTGAACAAAAACTACCCTTAATGATAAAAACAAGAAGTTAGTTCATTTAAGTTAACACTGAAAGTAGAATGCCTCATATCCGTCTGCTTTCCCTCAAAATACACATCATTCCATGTAGTATATCGTTTCTTTTTTTTTTGCAATGGTCCACAAATTAATTAACTTGGAATGCACTATAATATAATTGGTCCATATGGATTTAGTTAATCCATCCTAAATCTTTTTTCTCGTGAATGGCAATAAGCTACCCCAGTGAGGTACAAAACATTTCAAACATATCATAGGTGATATCCATTCCATATTTGCACTTATCATGAAGTGTAACAAGTTGTCTCTAAAAACACACAAAAAAAGGAAGTTTTCAGATGAAGACACACATCTTGATATATTAAATATAAATGCCTTCTGTCGAGTGTGGCCTTCCACTGCTATTGCGTAGCGCCATGCCAGGCTGCCCGGGACTGCTCATCCCTTCTGACCAATCAGAGTGTGCCGAGTGAGGGGAGGAACTTGACCATTGGCCAGGAGAGTCGGGGGACGGTGTCAAGTAGTGCTCGGGTAGCGCCACCTGTGCAATTCGCTGAGGCGTCGACTCTGTGCTCATCTGGCTGTGATGGGAGGGAGGAGTCGGGTACTGACCGATCCCGACGTTAATGCGATATCCCGTCGCAGTCTGCTGCTGGGGAACGTTGTTGCCATAACTGCAGTCGCTGTTGTAGTAATTGTGTGGACTACTGTGTGGACTGCACTCACTGCCGTTGTAGTAATTGGGGGGACTGGCCTGCATGCGGAGGCTCTGCTGCATGGCTAGCTGATGCATGGGAGAGGTTGGGAAGCTTTTCTTCACAGGGGACGTCACGCTGGGGGGACTCCCGTGGGACAGAGGCGGCGACATGGAGGATAAACTGCCTTGTGAACCAGTGGAAGGCAAGCGCTGGGCCTGCTGCTGCTGCTGTTGTTGTTGCTGTGACATTTGCTGTTGTTGTGACTGCTCCCACAACTCCAAATGATTTGAATCCGGCCCTCCTCCTCCTCCACCAAGATGGTGCGGGCTCGTGTGACTGTACCCAGATATCATCGGGTCGTCGTACCCCGTTTGTAATGCACACGACGGATGCATGTCCTCTAGAGCATGCATGCCTTGCTGGGCCATAGATAGATGCCCATTGCATGAGTCAGTGAAAGTCTGAGTAAGCTCGTTAAAGCTGCCTGGTGAACCCAGGGAGTGGTGAGGGGAGGAATCTGTACTACTGGAGAGATTCCTGGGTTGTGAGTTTTTACTCTGGCTGTTGGTTTTCTTTTTCCGTGACCTGGGAGGCTTATTGGCCACAGTTCTGTCAGCCCCATCGGGAGAGATGGGTCCCTTGTGAATATTATTGTGATTACTACTACCGGTGCTGTTTTGCCGTGACCGCTTGCTCTTGGACTTCTTTGAGTGACCGTTAGGGGTCATAAACTGCTGGTGTGGATTTTGCATATGTGGGGATGTGGCCATGCCGTTGGCCATCATGGGGCTGCCCACCCCATAGCTATCAAGTAACTGCACTATATCGTGGTGCATTCTCTCCTCGGCTATCTCTCGTGGAAGGCGATCCATGTGGTCGGTGATGTCGCGATTTGCAAAGTTATCCAAAAGAATCCTTGCTGCTTCCAAACTTCCTTCCTTTGCTGCCAGAAACAGCGGTGTTTGCTCCTGTAAAGATAACACATAAATTTATTGACAGAAAGTTTGACGGTTACATACAGATGGAATTAAATTTCAACCTACTTTACAGCAATACTTGACATATGTAATACAAATAAAAAGATCTTTGCTCACAAATTCACTGTCAACTCAAATCATACCATAATATTTTTTCACATGTATCATACATAGAACCTTTGAAGTTCATCTTTTCAGACGATGACTTGTATTAATCTAAATACAGATGATGCCTTGTGTAAATACCTTGTTATCCTGGGCGTCTCTATTCGCCCCATTCTGCATAAGTACCATGGTGGCATCCACATTATTGACTGCTGCAGCCCAGTGTAAGGCTGTCTTACCTAGATACAGAGAAAGCAAAAAATATATTTACAGATATACAATAACAAGTAAAAGGCAAAGGTGCACTCACTATTGGAAGTTCTTCTTTAGTAGACATTTTCTTTGATCATATTGAATATACAGATTCAAGTGTAACATTTTATATTTTTGTAAACAAAAGATATTACATATAAATCCAGTTGCATCATAAATAAATACATCATACACTTAACTTTTAAAAACAATTTTTTAAAGGATAAGTAACCCAAAGTTAACTTTATACACTAAACTGAGGGGTTAAAACTTCATCTGCAGGGGTTCCCAATACATCCAATCATCACTGAATTAGAAATATTGAAATCCCATGATTTTGTGGGAAAAAATTCATGTCTGATAGACTCACCATATTCATCAGTAGAGTTAACATCTGCCTCAGCATTCATCAGTTCCTCTACCATTCCCTCCACTGCCAGTCTCACTGCCAAGATCAGGGGGGTGGTACCATCATGCATGCGGGCGTTAAGATTGGTCGCACGGTTCCTCAGCAAAATCTAAATGTAAATACAATCAAATGATTTATCGTTATTCACAGTCAAATAATAATTCTTGGTGTGTTCTGGACATGTTATAACTCTTGACATGTTCATTACTTTACCATTTTTTTTCAATATAATTCAGTAAGTGATTAAATCTGTGATTGAAATGTTCATTATCCGTTTCTAAATCGATTTTTCCTATTGGTTAATAACATACATTTTTTCCTGAGAGTGAAATGAGACAAACTACTGAAATATATACTGAACCCTTTTACCATTTCAAATTTGACTGAGTTAATATTCAACTCACAGGAATCAAAACTTAAACCTGATTCACATTGGCAATAATACTGGCTGAAGACAAGTATTTCAAAATATTATGTGTGTTTTTATACCTGGAAGACTCCGCTAGCATCGGCAGCCACTGCAGTGTGGAGAGGGGTTCTGCCAGTGTTGTCCTGCGTGTTAGGGTCGGCACCCGCATCCAGCAGTCGTTTTGCTGCATCAGCACGTGCATTTCGTGCAGCTAAGTGGAGCGCTGTCTCACCTGGTGAACAGATACATGAGTGTATGAATACAGTAAGGTCAGGTGGGCAGAAGACCAAGAAGTTTGGAAATTGAGCACTTATTAATGATATATTGTGGCATTATGTTTAATATAACCCCACATTGATGTAGAAGAATAATGGTGAAACTGGGTAAGCTGTAATCTAACTGTAAGTCAATTTTACCCACTTATTAATGTATTTCATCAAATAAAAACAGCATATTCAAGTCCTACCATATTAAAGAATATGCCATAAACACAGTTATATAAGTAGTAAAGTATTTTCACAAAAACTTTTAACCTGTCTGGGAGCATCAATTTAATTGCTTCTACTCACCAGTCCTGTCAGTCTGCATGTTAATGGCAGCTCCCTGCATCAGTAGATCAGATATGACATTGCCCACGCCTTCATCTTCACCACCCTCGGCTGACCCTGACCCTGACCCAGAACCGCTGCTTTCATCATCAAACTCTAGACCATTCCCTCGGATTGCCGCCACCATCAAAGGCGTTAGGCCATCTTAAGTGAGAGACAAATATAATTTAAATACAAGTTTGAGCTCTTTTTTTTTTAGAATGAAAGGTCATCCATCATACATCATGATCAAATTAGATGTGACAGAATAATGGTCAACAAAGTAAAGTTAACTTTGGAGATGCAAAAGCCAAAATATTGTTAATTTTCATTTTAGGGGTTTCATATCAAATTCAAAGTGTCCTATGATCTCACCTGGTCCTTTAATGTCCACATTCTTGGTGTCGTAATGTTCGTCACCTTGCGGTGGTGTGAGGGCCAGAATGGACGGGTTGTGAACATTGGCCGCGTCCAAGTGTTGCTGTGTCCACTGCCTGGTGTCCATCTCGTCAAAGTCTTCTCCATGGACCTGGGCATCTCCCTGTTGGTCCATCTGGAGTGACAATTATTATTATTATTATGACATTTTGTTTATCAATTATTTCATTGTAGAGAATATCTTCCCAATTAAGGTTGAATCTTTTACCATGTGACAACTGCTTCCCTAGGCAAATATTTTGAATTTAAACTTAATCCTCATAACTTCTCAATGCTGTTAATTTTTAATGCTTAACCCCTTTTTTGAACACCCTTTTCAAATCTACTTCTCATAAAAAAATTTCTAAATGTTTTGAGACAAATGGCAACAAAAACAGCAGATGCTCAGTTACTCCCAGTGTTATTGTACCCCGCTAGGTTGATAAAGATGAAACATTTCTTTTTTTTTACCTTCATTTTCTTTTGTTTCATTGGAGGTTCATCGTCACTCCATGCATCTGGGGAACCATTGTCAGTAACGTCCAGGGGCACTTGACCATCACAATGACCACCATTGAAGTTCCTGGAAAAGTAAATTTTACTTTATTTTTTTCTGTTCTTCATTGTCTCTTTCGACCTGATGAAGTTGAAGTCATAATCTGATAATCTTTTATGTTCCGTACAAAATTTTTTGTGTTCAACATGAATTTTTACATGACAAAAAACTGCAACAGTCAACATTTACAAAAAGCTGAATAAGTTTGATAATAACTCAAACAATTCAACTGCTTTGTGCTGTGCAACACAAGATGTCACAGTGTTATAGCAACTGCATATGAAAATCTTTTATGCAAAAACCTACTTCATCTCCTGCCCATCTGGTCCTTTTCTAGTCTTGGAACCCTTCCGTGAATTCTTGTGGCTGGCAGTCGCAAAGAAACCTTCGGGGAACCAGGTCACTCCACGTGCAATCTTGCGTTTCCGTGTCGTTGTTATGAGTACACCGAGGAGAAGAGCAACCACTAGGATACTGACAGCACCAATGACGATATAGGCTACATTGATTGGAGTTGATGGTGTAACGTCCGTTGTTCCATCTTCACCTTAAAGATAAAGCGCATTTGTTTATGCTTGTCTTGTTTACAAGGGTTTAATATCACCTGATGGAATTACCTTAATTTTGATAAACTACAATTCAGCAATATGAGCACGTAAATCAGTGGAATGGCAAAACAAACCAAAATTAACCTTTTCTTACACATACACAAAATAAAAATTTAAAAACCTGAAAATACCAAGATCATAACTTACTTGAGACTTTGGATATGTCTAAAGAAGGTTTCCAATTATTATTCTTAATGGCAGCGGCTATGAACTGGGCCACAGTGTCAGCTGTCCCAAGGCATTCTTGCTGAAGCTCTATACACTTGGTCAAGTCAACCACCAAGTACACTTTGGTCCTGTTAGAAAAAAATCCCATAAAATTCTATTGTACAACAAACATGGAACCAGTGACTTTTAACAGTGATGAGACTGCCACTACGTGAAAAAGTCTGAAAATATGATAAGGGTCTCAAGAGGCCCTCAGCATCGATCTTAGCATCGATACTTTTGGCTTCCAAAAAGTCAAAAATCCTCCGATAGTTAGAAAAACCCCATTACTGTTTGAATAATTCAATTCTTTAAAACCATCAAAATGTGGTTAATATTCTGATTGGAATGCATGTAAGTTCTATTTGTTATTATCTTGTACATTAATAACATCAGTTTGAATAGACCATGACTATGACTTTAACATTCAACAATCATCTCCCCATTTCCTATGATCATACTGATATCTGTTGTATAAAATGGCTAAATCCCTTTTATTTGCATTACCCGTCAAACTTTTTAAGACACATTATGAGAAGAGAGACACCATTAAAACTTAATTCTTACCATTCATCATCATTTCTTCTAAATCTTCGTAGGATATCTTTGACAAATCTCTTCACCCTGACCTCATTGGTTTCGGGGTGCCAAGGATAAATCATGTCCGCCCCGTTTGCATCCTTCTTTACTTTGACCACAGCGCGAAGAAGTCTGCCAAGATTACGTAGGAAGTCCACAGACTTATTCCTGAAAACATCCGGTGGCACACGGACAATGAGGACCAAGACACCATCAGCAGTTTGCAAGGGCACATCTCCAAGACAATCGTCTCCATCCCAGTTGCATTCCTCCGTATTGCAGCCTCTGTCGCAGTGTCCGTTCGCATAGTGATTCCTACAGTACGGATCGAAAATGGGGTTGCACTCTCCAAGACGAGGCTCACAGTCGAAACCATCAAAGAGGCACTCTGGCGTGTTACACTGCTCGTCACAAATGCTGTTGTTGAAAAGCTGGTAGCAAAATGTGTCATCTTTGACTACAGTGCAGTTTTGCCAAGGTGAGACACCGAAGCAGTCTTTACCGTCATAACCACAGGCATATTTGTTACACTCCTCCTGAAATAATATGAACAAAATCTTGTGATTATCACACAGTATCAAAAGAGATCTGCTTATAATCTACACAAGGCTTCATGGCAACTTGAACCATTCTAAGGGACTTTCAACCAAGTCTGTTTTGTGTGTTAGTCACTTGCTCACCAAGATCACCAAAAAGTGAGCAGAGAACAGGCAGAAAAACCATTAGCTTCGAATGTTGAGAACCTTTTTCTTATTACACTTTAAGCAACACAAATTGGACTAATTTTTTCCAAAAATTTTCATTCAAAAATCCAATATGTTTTGAGCACATTTTCTCTTACATCACATTTCCCATTGCCCGCCTTGTTGTCGCAGTCCAGTTTTTTGCACTCCAGTCTCAGAATGTCCAGTGGACTAAGAGTGGTGAAGTCCGGCCCCACGGGCTCTCCGATACCACCAGGGGCATTGGGGTCAAACACCTGGCAGTTGGTGCCCCGGTACGAGGGTGGACAGTCACACTGGTAGAAGCCTGGTGCAAAGGAAGTGAATTCGATGTTAATCATTTTCAATACTTATTATAACTAGTAGTACAAAAGTGCAAGAAATGGTTCCACTTAATTTTCAATGTTCAACCAAACACAACTTACAATAAATAATGGTCAGCTAAGATTAGGACACCATCTACAATTGATAATGTCAGTTCCATGACTTTTAGTTTATCTTCCTTAAACATTTTCTTCCCATTAAAAACAGTGTTCTAAACTCTCCCTTACCATCTTTATCGAGACAGGATCCATTGTTTCTGCATGGATTGGAATCACATTCATTTCTAATGTCCACCTCACATCCTCCGCCTACAAAGTTTGGCGGACATTCACAGGTGTAACTCTGTGCATTAGGAATACACCTGCCGCCGTTCTGGCATGGAGAACTTGCACACTGGACATGGTGGAATTCACAGTATGTGCCAGAGTAACCCTAGAAACAAACACACAAGAGTCAAAAGATGTCTACAGATGTTAATAAGCCTCAGACAAGTATTCCATAAATACAGATTTTTAACTGCCATTTTCGATATATACTGCACTGAAAAACTTTCAAGAAATGTTCTCTTTTTGTGACAACAAAACAGGCTGAACACCATTTTTAATGTTTCCATACATAACATGCTACCTCACATTTATTCCTCTGTTTATATCAACCATTTTCACGGAATCTCCTAAGGTGGTATTATCTCTAAAATACTTTGCTCCTAAAAGCATTCATTATAGCAAGAAAAATGTTCTTACCTGTTGACAGATACAAACAGAACCAGCACAAGCAGCATTGTTTTGGCAGGGATTAGAACTGCAGAAGTCCTGCAAGGTTTCACAGTGGCGGCCCGTCCAGCCGGGGTTACAGTCACAGCGATAATCATTAACCAACTGGATACAATCCTGTGACCCTGGTGACAGGCAAGGATCAGACAGGCACTCGTTCACGTCCCCTTCGCAACGATCGCCAACAAATCCTGGTGGACAGCGGCATTCGAATCCCCCAACACGGTCAATGCATGTCCCGTTGTTGTGACACGCCCCACTGTAACAATCCACGACGTTAATCTCACACAGTTTCCCCAGCGTCCCAGGTCGGCAGGCACAGTGGAAACCATGGGGAAGGTCATGACACGTACCGCCATTGTAACAGGGCTTTGGAAGGCATTCATTTATGTCTGTCTGACATTGGCTGCCATTGTAGCCCGCGGCGCACTGACACCTGTACGTGCCTATACCATCTATGCATGTACCGCCATTCTGGCACGGGACGGACTCACACTCGTTGATCTCAGTCTCGCAGTAACTCCCAGTGTAACCTGGATGGCAGTCGCACACGTGGGAGTTTCCAACATCCCGGCATGTTCCGCCATGAGCACACAGATTGCTCAGGGAGACGCCTATGAAAGTGAAATCATCCAATCTGTATATTACACCTTATATATATTTATATAAATGAAGCACATGAACACAGATTACTTCTTCACTGTTACTTTTTGTGAAAGAAACTTAAATCATTTCATACAAATCTGAAAAACTCATGTATATACATATTCATTTTTACTTACAATAAAAGTCACTATGAAAATTTTTTAAGAAGTAATTAGTAATATGCTCAAGAGACAAGGAAAAAAATTTAGCCATCAAAAATCAAACTCAATTCCTGTGTGCTGTCCTACCTTTGGTGTTGGCCGCCACCGCACAGGACACGAGGCCCACGTCACAGTAACGCCCTGTCCACCATGCTTTACACAGACACTGGTAGCGATTCCCTATCTGCTCACAGGTGGCGCCGTTTTGACATGGTCCAAGACTGCACCAATCCACAAAGCTCTGAAATACCACAACAAGAATGAATAAGAGTTCCTCTATGTACTTAAAACAACAAACTGATTTATCATATTAAACCTCATTACTCAAGTAAGAATGCTGCACTTGAAGTCAAATCTTGTGAGTAACTTAAGATAAGTCAAATATTCTCTTTCTTAAGTATCTTTATGAAGTCCATAGCCTTCAAACTGAAAAAGAGATGGAGAATATGGAGTTAAAAACTTAAAATACATAATGTGACAGTTCCCTTACCTCACACTGTGGTCCAGTATAACCATAGGGACAATGACACTTGTATGAGCCAGCAACCAGGGAGCAGGTCCCACTGTTCAGACATGGTTGGGACTCACAGGCATTGATCTTATGCTGGCAGTTAGACCCTGTGTACCCTGGTGCACAGTGACAGCGGAAAGAGTTCACCAGGTCTATGCAAGTGCCTCCATACAGGCAGGAACTGAAATGAGAGAAATCCAATATAAATGTATATTTTTGAGAGATCTTTTAAATCTAGTATTGAAATGTAATGTATCATTCACAAAAATCCTCAATTTATCACATCAAAACAGAAGAAAGATTCTGATGGTAGCCAGAACAATTTTATTTTTGAAAACTTTCTGTAAAACATGTGCATTATCCAATAATTCTTTTTCTCTGATAACATGAGTCAATATTAAACAAAACTTCTTCAAACTTTGTCTATGAAGACGGTACAAATTTTTACAAGAGAATGTTCTAACAAAGCACTTCTTGAAAGAATAAAGTGACAGTGTTTGGTGGTCTAATGGCTAACCTTGAAGTACAGTCATTATCATTGATCTGACAATGCACTCCACTAAAACCAGGCTGACATCTGCACGTGTACGAATTCACGTAGTCTGTGCACGTAGCACCATTCTGGCACGGGTTTGACAGACACTCGTTCACGTCCTCTTGGCAGTGATGGCCACCAAACCCACTGACGCACATGCAGGTGTATCCACCAATTTCATCGCGACATGTTCCACCATTTTGACATGGATCTGGAAAAAAAATTCAGTTGTTTTACTAGAGCACTGACAATTCATGGGGTTACAAAAGGTTTTTCAATACAGTTGCTGCTTGCAAAATTATAACTGCACAGAAACATTGGAAAGAATTCCTATTGACACTTTTCAGCTAATGTCTCAAACAAAAACTATGACTAATATGGAGATAATAAGAGACTCTTCTTTATAAGAAAGGCAAAAACTACATATCTTCTTATGAAATAAAAGATTTTAAAGCACATCAATAAAAACAAGTTTTAGTGGAAAATGTAAAATTATCTACCATGTGCACAGTCATCTCTGTTGACGGCACAGTGTCTGCCCTCAAAACCAGTGGTACAAATACAGGCATAGGAACCGTTGGTGTTTTTACAGGTGGCGCCATTAGCACAGGGTGCCACCAAGGCACACTCGTCTATGTCCTGTTCGCAGAACCGTCCTAGAAAATTAGGAAAGGATATTATGTCTTGGCTTATACTTCTGGATAAAAATAATGTTCACATATAACCACAACCAAAAATACAAAAAGAGACGGACTGAAAGTTTATGTACATTGAAATGTAAAATAATAATAAACCCATTGGGAGAGAAGTAAGAACATGACAATAAATTCCTAATTTAGTGTAATTCAGATTAAATAGCAGCTTCGTTTCCCTTGCTCAAAAATAAACTAGTCCTTTCTGTTGCTCAACAAAACTTTAAAAAGAGAAATGAAAAATACTATAAATTAACCCTTGGATAAGTAACATGAAGCCAGTGCATCCAGCTTACCTGTGTACCCTAGCCCCAGACACTGGCAGGCAAAGTCCTGGTAGTCAGCTGACACCTGACACGGGGCGCCATTCTGGCACTGGTTGGGCTGACACGGGTTCATCTCAACGTCGCAGTTCCTCCCTGTGAAGGGCAGGTTGCACACACAGCGATAGGCGTTCACCTGGTCAATACAGTCACCGTGTCTGCACGGGTTGCTGGCGCAGTCGTCTATATTGGACTCACAGTTCACTCCTGCAGAAAGAGAGATTTGTTGCTAAACATTACGATGACTCAAAAAAAAAGATCTGTACAGAAGAAATAAGTTTTTTCATTGTAAGATGTCAAGCATGTTTTTATCATACAAGAGAAAGGAAATCTAATAGTATAAATAACTGGTTGATAATTTTCGCCTCAATAAGCTTTAACACAAAAATAAGCTGAAATATGTGCCAGATTAATACCACATTCCACTCAATTGACATTAATTTAGAATAATAATAATAATAATAATAATAATAATAATAATAATAATCAATCCAACAACATGCCCTACCTGTATAGCCAGGTTGACAAGAGCACTGGTAATATCCCAGTCTATCAATACAGGAACCACTGTGCTGGCAGGGATTAGACAAACACTCATTGGTCTCTTGTTGGCAGCGGAAACCTTCATATCCTCGTGGACAGGAACAATTGAACCTGTAAATGTATTACAGTATGGAGTGAAGTTGGTGATACTTGAGTGTATACTGATGTATTCAAAAGCTTAATCTCCGTCCTTTTTCAAATTCTATGGCACCCTTCTCTGCAACTTCATTCCTGCATCAACTGTTTATGGACTTCAAAAACAAGCTACATTAGCCTTCAGTTGTTCTTTTTAATTTCAAATTTTCCTCCGTCATTTTTCTTTGGTCCTTAGCATTGAAAAAAAAAAAGAAAAAAAAAAAAAAAAACAATATCCTACAGCAAAAGATGAGAGGTCTGTTCAAGCCATTACCTGTCCACCCCATCAATACAGCGTCCTCCATTCAGGCAAGGGTTACTGTCACACTCATTCACATTGGAGAGACAGTTGAGGTCGTAGTATCCAGGTGGACATTCGCACGTGTATTCGTTGATCAAGTCAGTGCAGCGGCCATTATTGTGGCATGGGTTGGAGGCGCACTCATCAATGTTGATTTCACAGTGGGTGCCTAAAATTCACATGGAAAAATTCAAATTAACACACTGTATTTTATTTATTTATTTATTTATTTATTTATATATTATTATTATTATTTTTTTGTAAATTCACTTTTGACATTTAACACTTCTGGATTTGACATTCATTCTTTCTTTTTCACCTGCTTTACTTTAACATAATAAGTCTGACAAATCTTTTCCCACAGTCCTTTAAAAAACTATAAAATATTTCATGGTACAGAAAACAAACCAACTTAATGTAATATCTTCATGTAAATAAAGCTAAATTTTATACATTAAATGCAGATATATCCAATGAAACAAAACCTGTTACCTGTAAAGCCAGGATTACATTGACACCTGTATCCATTCAGCTGGTCTACACAGGAGCCGTACTGACATGGGTTGCTGGCACACTCATTGATGTTCACCTCACAATTGTTGCCTGCAATAAAACCATTACTTCTTATTATAACTTGCTGAGATAGAGACAGAGAGAGAATAAGAAACTTTCCCTGTTTGACATTTGGGCAACGGTGGCAAATGGGAACTAATGATTAGTGTTTAACTATATCTCTTCAGTTCAGTACCAGTATAAAAATGCAAAAAAAAACAAAAAATCACCTTGAGTCCCCAGGGGACAGCGACACGAATACCCAGGGATCAGGTCGGTACACGTCCCGTTGTTCATACATGGAGCACTGTTACATTCCTTGATCTCACTTTCACAATATCTCCCAGTGTACCCAGGGTGACATCTACAGTTAAAACTGGCGTAGCCGTCCACGCACACTCCATGGTTACAGTTTATTCCCACGCAGTCGTCTATGTTAGATTCACAGTTTCTGCCAGTAAAACCTGATCATAAATAGAAGACAGGATTAATGGTTATTACAAACATACATAATATTTGAAAAACAGTATTCAATTACTAGTATGTCATCAATTTAATAATGAAGAAAAGGTTACTCATTATGATACATCTTACAACCATTAAAAACTCTGATGAAATACCTACATAAAACATATAGATGATAAAAATCTGACTGCCTGTTGTTTTTTATTCAAAATTCTTTATTCAAAAACCACCCTATTCTGAATCATGAATTCAAAGCCATGGTGGTTAACAAATTTCTTAACGAGTGTACAAATGGAGTGAACAAGACATAAGAACAACACGGTACCTCTGGTACAGTCACACAGATATCCGTTGATCATGTCCACGCATGTCCCAAACCGGCAGGGGTTGCTGTCACAGTCATCAATGTTAATTTGACAACGTGGACCCGAGAAGCCTGGAAAAAAACAGTAGGTTTGGATGAGAAACAGGTACGTGTAGGCATGTGTGGGCATGCATACATAGCGACATGCATGCACACACATTCTGATAATACATTTCCCAAGAGTTGTGTCTTCCTTTTTTATATTTTTATTTTTAACATTCCAAATTCTTGAAAAAAAAAAAAAAAAAAACACACCAAAAACAGCAACTATCTGTTCATATAATTGCTGCTGTTTTAAATAAACCAAATTTAAACCATGGAACTCGTATCTTTAACTTTCTAATGAAATATTTCTGTTGTTACAAATGAAGCATATGGTTATCTAACCACTGTTTTTTGTTCCGTTTTGTGGCCCAATAAAATGACTAAGCAGATAAAAATGAGTGAACACTGAAAAGAGAGTCACTTGTAGAAGGGATCAAAGTTGAATAGAAATGATTCTAGTTCATCGAATTACTGGGAAACCACACATTCACCAAAACAGTACAGTCAAAGCATAGATCAAGTTTTTCACCTTGTCCCCATGTGGTGAAATAAAAAGAAACGTTAAATCAATAAAAGTTCTAAGCCGAGCAAAATAAGATCAACAGAATGACTAACTGGTTCCTTTTAACACCCTGAAAATAATTCTCAGTAGGTCAATTCTTCACATGATGCGAGGAGATTTTTTGGCCAACTGCCCTCCACGTTCAATCAACCTGCAGTTGCTTGGGCAGGGAAAACATTTCTCATAAATACATGCTAAAACTCACTAATAAGGATTAAAAGGCATTTGGAGAGAGACTAATTAACACAAGAAAATTGGACGTGTATATGTATGTGCATTATTGTTCAACCAGGCAACTATATACTGATTGCCATAATTGTTTATAGTTTGATACCGACCTGCTTGACACTGGCAAGAGTATTGACCTATTGAATCAACACAAATGCCGTGATTCTGGCAAGGGCTGCTTTGACACTCATCAATATCAGCCTCACAGAGAGTTCCTGTGTAACCTGCAATTGGATGAAATTCAAAATGTGATGAAACTGAAACATCACCATAATGTTTAAATATCAAAGGTGGATGATGACATAAGTAATACAATGAACTTTAACAGAAAAACTTTCAATCAATTCATTAAATGCATAAGAAAACTATATATTAAAGGGATTAGGGCTTTAAAAATAATGAAGTTTTACATTTATAACAGCTTGTATCACATTAATTCCCTATCTGACTATGAGCAGTTGGGGATCTAGACACCAAGGGGAAAAAAGATTAACTGTCCCTTTTGTTCTGGCAAATATTTATTGCTTTTTTTTTTAGGAATTCCACAAAAACCAAACCACTGTGCACCGGTCCCCCTTCAGGGTTGGGCAATATAAAATTGCCAATTAAAAAGCCTACAACTTGAAGTTTATTACACCTCAGTACTATAGGACAGAACCAACTGGTCTCCACTGCCAACATCACCCTGGTACTGCAAATGTACTCCAGTGAGCCATAGTCGTCCCCCATGAACGTCAATCTCTGACGTGTTTATTACCGCCATAATCAACAGCATTGTCCAGACTTTTTTTAAAAAAAACCTGGGAAGTCCCATTGTGTCTCACCTCTCTTTAACCTAATTAAAAGTTTGGTGCAAATTTGGGGAGTTCTCGGGGCCACCCCAGGAAGCTGGAGGTTATGACAATGGGTTTCGGCACTAGTGGTAATTTGATAGGATTAAAGCTTTTGTAGCTGCGTACTTAAGATGGATTTAGGAACGATGAAGTACCACAAGAAAGCTGTTCCTATGTGATATATATTAAAGTTGGAGAAGGTATCTTTTCCGATGTGCTTAGCTCAAAGATGATTTGCACCAGTATGACAGGCCACAAAATGGCGACAGGGTCAAGTTGCACTTACTTCCTCTTTCCAAACTTTACTCACACAATCTCCCCATTACATTATCAATATATGATCAGGGACATATTTACACCGCATTCCCACAGATCTTGGGCTGAGAAATACCTGCTTTTAATTTAACTGAGAGTGCAATATGGTAATGTCTTGTTTTCAGTTGGATGGAAATTAACCCCCAAAATATGGACTCAATTGTGGCAACCGTAGGGTGAAAATTGGTGGCGATGCTTTAATGTTGAATAACAGGGAAATGTAGTGATCTAATTTTCCCGAACTCGTGACCACACAGTCTTTCTTGAAGTAAAGACAGGAGAGTGATATTTTCTCACAAAAAATATTGGAATGAACCAATACAGTTCCAATCAAGACAATCTGTGAGTCGTTTTGGGATGGAATTTTTTCACTTCGAAAATAGCAATGTGGCCAACCCATACCTTGTCCCAATCTCTTCAATATTGTGAAGTTGATTATTCAAACAAGTCAGCATTACCTATTTTTCTCCTTTTTAACAGGTATGGGGGTTCTTCTATTCTTCCATCAAACAGTAAAGCACTCTTGCAGAATATTGCCCTATTTGTTATTTTTTCTACCACAGGATATTACCTTATTGCCTCTGTTTAGGTCACCCATTAAAAAGAAGTTACTTTTCACCTTTCATCTCAACTTGAATACGGACTCAGTTCTTTACTCACCAGGCATGCACAAGCAGCGAAAATGTCCCACTTCATCCAGACATGTGCCATCGTTTTGGCACGGGTTCGATGCACACTCGTTAATGTTATCCTCACAGCGCGGTCCTGAGTATCCTATGCGGCAGTCGCAGTAGTATGACCCTGGGGTGTTGACACAAGAACCACCATGTTCACACAGATCCATGGCTCCTAGAATAAAAGAAAAGTCAAAATCAAACAAGTCAGAAACTGGGATGAATTGCTCTCAAGGGTTAATCAATTCCTTATTATTATTTCATCTAAAAAATAATCACCTGTATATCTTGATCAATATTGGAGTAAATTCCCCAAAAGGAAAAAAGTTTTTAAACGTTGTAAAATTAATGACCTTGAGCAACAGTATGAATACTATGACATTATCATTGCAACAACAATGTATTTCAATTTATTCAATTTTAAATGCAAAATACCAGGAAAATCCAACATGTAACACTTTATGTTTAGAATTTTACTGTGTTCACTGTACATTACCTTCATTGCATTCATTTATATCCACTTCACAGTTAGTTCCCGTAAAGCCTCGCTCACAGGAACAAATATGGCCGCCATCAATTGGCGATGTGTCACAGTTGCTTCCAGCACTGCAAGGGTTACTTAAACAAGAGTCGTTCAGATGACAGTGTAGACCTGGCAAAGAAAATAAAAATCTATTATTAATATATTCACATTTATTATATCGACAAGTAAGTTAATTCATTCTTCAATATGAAAACAGGTGTCTGCTCAAATTATTATAGATAATAAAATTTCATTATTTAAGGTTATCAAATGACAATAAACATCTGATGGCACTTCAAACATTATAATAATGTAAACATACAACACTATAAAGTAATACATGCTTGAAGGCATGAAAACAGACCAATATTTATACTTATTTATGGTCTACAAAATTCATAAATATCCAATATACATTTATGTTGCTTTATTTTAACAGTGAAAAAAATTCACTTTTATTTAATGGTGCCTGGAATGGGTTACCTTATTTATATGGAAAACAATCAAACAATCCATAAAATACTCATCAAACAAAACACAACCAGGCTGTGCCAGTAGCATGTTGTGCCCAATTTTTTTTTTATTGCAATGTGCCCCATGTTATTCTCAGTAAAACAGCGTTTGATTAGAATATGTTTGTTTACAAGTACCATCAGAAAGTTTTGTGTTTATGATAATTATACAAGAATGGTGGGAACAGTCGCATTCTTGAAAGTTTGCATGGTCTCGCCCTCCCACAAACACGCTAAGACAATACGAAGACAAGGGGATAAAGCACTATTAAGGTGGTGCACGGGACATACTCATACTTAACAATTTGTACGTTTTTTTTTTCTTCAGGGTGTGTACCCCCCCTGAGAAAACAACTGATATCTTCTGCTCTGTTCTCATGTTATTCATAAAATCTAATTCCCCAATTGGCGAAATTTATGTTATACAAATTCTGGCATAAGAACTTCAAAGGAATGACAGTGGAAATTCCCTGTTTAAACATGCTCAAACAAAGGGGTACCTAGAGCTAGATGCCTTGAGTGCAACATCTCTCACAGTCTAATTTGATGAAATTACGGCATGAATACTTGTATGTTGTCCCCGTATTTTCTCACACAAGTTGCTGCAGTGTTTATTGGAGCTCAAGGGTATGATCAGCATACATAAATGCAACCTATGCCCCATTCTTTCACTTTGTCTTCCCTACACATTACACATTTAAAACTCCCACAGCAATTACACTCAATTTCAATTAAACATTTAATATCTATTTCACTGGACAATCTACAAAAGTGCTAACAATAAAAATGTAAAATAATCAGTAATGACCAGGGGGAAATACTTCAAAGGATTTCAAGCACACAAATGAGAGTCTTTTTCAAAATACTCAGAAGGAATCTGAAACTCTAATTGTTTTTAAGTGAAAAGTATTCACTCTACAAGGCCAACAGAAAAGAATATAACTATGAAAAGATAAATACAGGGCAACTTGTATTTTACATACCAATATAATGATATCATTTTATGTGAGTATAAAATGTAGATATCTGATCAACATGAGTTTCCCTAAAGCCAAAACAATCTGATTTACTTTTTATGCAAAATTAAACTATTTTGATAAAGTTGTATAAAAATACTGGTTCAAGATGTTAAATGGTAATGCATGAAACTATGAACAACTCTGAAATGATGATAACTTTGTCAGTACTGCAATCTGGATATCACTTCTTGTACCTACATTCCTACAATCTTGACACTTCCTTATCAGTCTATGGAAATTGCTCAAAACATGACAATTATACACACCATCTAGATCATCTACATGGTCTTGATCTAAAATATGTTGGATCCACAGATATTGCTAATGGCCTCATTTTAATGATAAATATCAAACCTACTAGTTTCCATCTATAACTAAGTCAGATTGGTGTAGGCTTTAGCCGAAATGACAGTGTGTAATATCTGATGGAGACATAAGCACTGGTTACCTTTTGGTCATTATGCAAGGTGATCATTTCTTGTCTACTCATTAACAAAACAGCATGAAATGGCTGCACTATCTGAGCCTGCCTTCAGTCAGCTATCTTGAAATCTTTTCAGCAGGTCTATTTAACATAATGGTTCTATTAACTGCCATTCCAACTCTGATCCAAATTTGAATCAAATATCATTGTTTTGTAACATCAAGTTAAATAAAAATTTATTATGTCAATTCTTACTATTACATTGCATGATATAAAACCTGATTATATGATTCTTTGAAAGACACCAAGTCGAATTGATCAAAATAAAGACAGAAATGCATTTAAAAACTTTCATAACAAAACCATCAAGGAGAAACAAAAGATCACAACTAACAGGGAAGAAGCATTTAAAAAGATACATACAATCTTTCCCACAATATCACTGAACTGTCACAAACAAACAAAAGACTTTCAAATTGTCAAAGTTGACTGTCCCCCTTCTTTTGCAATTATGAATATTTTCACGCTGGAAATCAGTGTGAAGGAATGAATTTATGTGTCTCTTTATTCTTAGCCATTTCTCATTATGAATTATTGGACAATAATGGGCAGCAGGTGACACAAGGGTACGAGGATTTCTTGAGGGGTGGTCAGATCTCAATGACAATGCAAAAGGAACATTTTCATAGCAATAACAATTTGTCCCATGTCTTAGAGGTTTCACCCGAGGTTAACATATGCATGTTTTTGTTAAGCTGAGGACTGTTTAGATTTTCATGTTAAGTAAACTGAAAAGAAAGTGAATTTAATTTTGCCAAGTGCATGAAACAGCAATGCTGGTTTAGAGAAATATGTTTATAGTTTCAAATGAAATGCCTTTTTTAAAAGACTTGATGCACAACCACAACCTATATTTGCAAATAAGATGTATACTTTTTTCACTTTCTTAAAACCAAGAAACTTATCTTCCCTTTGATTGCGCCATAACCAAAACTTTTAAAAGAAACCCAAACTTTAATAACTACCATGCAGACGTAGCTAGCGACAAACTGCTGGATTATTTATGGCCCAAACAAGTGCAACTCTAGGGAGAAAATAGGTTTATGATTCGCTTCAGCGCCTCGCGAAACATTACACACAAAAGAATCGTACTAGTTCCACTAGGGTGGTATGTGCAGGAAAAGGTCACAATACACAGATCCCCCACATTTTATTCCACTTCACACATCTTCCAGTCAAGTCACATCCCCGTCTATGGGGTCAATTGTGAAAGTTGGCGCAGACAACGCTGTCCCACTGCCCCCTGTGACAGAGTTCACAAAGAACATTAGATTGAAGTTGGTCCACACTTTAAGACTAACATTCTACTCTATTTTGCCCCAAAAATGCATTATTACTCTAGAGTAGTTAAAAGTACTATTGCAGCCATTTTTTTTTAAACAAAAAAGAAATATCCACTGTTTTGCACCACCAGTGGACTTATACACACTTATTCCGACCTGAAGAAGGCCAGAATGTTGGTTTAAAAATAAAACCATTTTTTGTCAAACGAATCTACCCTTGGGTCTTTGATTATTTTTAAGAATATACAGGGGCCACCAATTAGAATTCCACCCACAAATCTGCTCACAAAACAGCAGACCCTAAGGTCCCACAGCCCTGCTTTTGTTTCCTTGTCAATTCATTTTCATTTAATGGAACAATGATGACGCTCAAATATGACGCCGACAACATGACTAGTCAAAAACGATGACAACTATGTATGGTTCACTCAAATAGAGAGGGTAAATATGCACATCATTTATAAAGACATAAATGGGGGAGTTATTTGTGTATAATGACACCCAGACATGGCATTGGGGGGCAGACATGGTGGAAAACACAGGAAACAATGAGCAGGTGCATTATCACCACTTCCTTTACCAACTGCAGCTTACCACTTAATACAAAGACAAAGGTGTCGACTTTAACATATGTCATGGGCCCATGAAAATGTGCTTTGCATTCTTGGTGTTTTTACGATGACTTAATGACACAGACGTCTGCTTGTAACATGAGAAAACATGTTTTATGTGGAAGGGATTGCGTAACTAGCAAGCATCGACTGTGTATCAATTAAAGATATACAAATGGTGATAAAATGTTTTGGACACTACTTCTGCTTTACAATAAAAAAACACTGCAGCTGCAAGAAAAAACGCTGCCAAAATTCTGGCCAACATGGGAGGGGGTTCAAAGTGCTTCGGTTACTTATGTCTCAGCACTTATCGTAAGGTAGCTTGATTAGTTTCCGACATGCATCTCCACACTTACATTTCAACTTTCTCATGACTCTCTGTAAATGACTCACAAGTTTTCTCCGTAATGGAGCTCAGGCATACTATGTGTGGTGGAAACTGTTTCAGACTGTGATCACAAATTTAGACAAATATGTGTTTTGGCATGTCCAACTTCATAATTGCAAGGGAAAGGTAAGAAAATATTTGAAGGATTTTGAAAATCTTGCAAAATAAGTGTGCAGAGCTCATTTGTATTTATTTCACATTTTTTCTCAAACGGCACGTGAAATGTCTTGTAAAATGTCACTGTAAATCCAACCCGTATAATCAAGCAACGATTACTGTCACAGATGTTCAGTCTTCTTTCCATCTTTTTTTTTCAGACAGGCAACTTGTTGCTTCTCCAGAATGTACACCATGCTGCAAATTCAGGTTGTTGAACTCAATCTGTTGAGAAAATAACACCTTGCACGATATGAAGCTCTTTCTCATTTAAACGAATCCACCTTTATGATTCTAATGGCTCACCCGGACTCTGAAAGTGCAATTACTTAAACCAGCTTAAATTCATGAGATAGGCAACACTTATAGTCTGCCATTCATATTCACCCAGGAGTGTAATATCTCCGAACCCTACCATGACACCTAATGGCTGCCGATTTCAAGGGAGGCAAATGTAAAACATGAATGCTTATGATATGAATGGCTGATATTTTTGTGGTAATGATGCTACCTACACTTGTCACTTTCAATGAGAACTGTGGTGCAAAATTTTCCTTCAGCCAAATGGTAATAACTTGTTCAACCTTATATTGTTGTGGTCCCCTTGGTTACTTGACCCTTTCCACTTAACTGTGACCCGAGCTCTTCTTTTCTACACAACACTGTTGCAGCCCAGTTTTTTCCCAAGAAGTTTTATGTGTGCAGTTCGCCTCAAGGTTTCGCCAAAAGTCATGGCAGAAGAAGACAGACATTTATGTCCTTCAAATCAACCAATAAAACCCTTCAACTTCATCGCTAAAGGCGTCATAAATTGATGTTTAATATACCATATGTAGTTGATAGCTATCTTTCGAATTATCAACTTTATGTTTCACTCAAAATTCAAATTAAACTTTGAACCTGTAATATTACAAATTACATTTTATAATGTTATCACAGGGAATTCAACTCAAAGATCACGAAAAACATCCCTAACAAGGTGACCGGCCAAATTCAGACAGTCTTTACAACAAATAATAGAGATAAGTAGTAATAATAAAATGACCGAGGCGATTTATTCAGTTAGAGATGAAATAATCTCTGTATGTCCTCAAGGTAATTTTTTGGCAGGTTAATAAAAAGGCCAAAAGGAGTGTCAGCAAGCCGTATTAGCATAGATGCTGGGTGAGAATCTTTCCTCTTTGACATTCTCAAGATGTGAACACACAAGACAGCGGCCCCAAGCAACAAACTTGGCACCTTGTGATCATGATGAGCCCCCTCAAATTCTTAACGCCCTCCAAATTAACTAGTGACTAACTGCACATTTAGCCTTTCCACGTCTTTTGAGTATGTGGTTGTTAATAAGAGTACTCGAATGCGATGCCCCCTTCCCATGACTTGAGAGATTTTTATCGATGTTAAGATTGTTTGTGGTTAGGTGAAACATTTTAAGAGTTGATTCCAAATTTATAGTTATTACTACTTCACCCTGACAATTTTTATGAGATGATCATAGCCCAAAGATACAACAAAACCAAATTTAGACTCAGGAAAGATATACAGTTTCATTGATCACTCATAAAAACACTTGTTATACAAGGAGAGTACTGATGGAAATCTATATGGCGATTTGAGATTTGAGATCCAAAGACATTGGTTGTATAATTTTGTTCACATTTGGTAAAACATTTCATCTCTTGTACAGATTTACACATGGAGGATCTATTCATTGACAACCCTCACCTGTCATCCCTACAGGACACTCGCACCAAAAGTAGCCAACTTTGTCGTGACATGTGCCGCCATGAAAGCAAGGGTGGTTTGCGCAATCGTCCTTGTTGACTTCGCACAGAGGTCCTTCCCATCCGTTCACACAAAGACATCGAAAACTGCCATCGGTTTCGTTGGTGCACGTGCTGCCATGCAAACACGGATGAGAGTTGCAGGGATCGAGATATTGCTCGCAATAACGACCTAAAAATGGTGTAATACAAATGGTTAAACATGAAGAAGTTATAACTGGTGTCATAAGAGGGAAACAACAATTGTCTCATTTTTATTTTAAAAATTATGTTCAGGAAATTTATCAATCATTTGCAACATTGTTTATGAAAACACAGCTGACGCTGACAAATGTACAGACCAGATCTGCATTTTTACAAATACTCTCTTTTACTTAAGACAAGCAAAATGGGCATCATGTAATCAAATCGTTATAATGAACATAAACAATTTACAGAAAATATGGCAGCCTAAGAACAGTTCACACATGGAAGAACTACAAAAGATGTAATGTTTGTACTAGAATACATTTGTAATACCATGTGTGCACAGAATCGTGTGCACATACATAAAGGTAGGATAAACCACAAGATGTCACATAGCAGAAAAGAGACAGTGACAGTGACAAGGAAATTTCATGTTACTTTTTTTAAAGATTTATGCTTTAGAGCATCTAATAAATGCACATTCTCCAACATGAAACCCATCCACTCTTAAAGGAATTTTTGAATAAATATTCTATTTGCAAGTTTTTTTTTTTTTGCTTCTATAATCTGTAGAAATTCACATACAGTGAGTGGACAATGTGATGAAAACTCTCACCTTGTCTGTGACTCGGACAGTTACAGGTGTAGTCGTTGACGCCATCAATACAGATACCACCATGTTGACATCTGTGGTTACCGCAGTCATCTATATTTATTTCGCAGTTTGTGCCTTGGAATCCTAAAACAAACAAAATATTGACCACTTATCATTCTGATTAAATGTAAACTGTTTAAACTGTTTTAAGGGATAAAAAAAAGGCATTTTATTGGCAAGAAAAACTTTAAAATATACAGCTTATCATAAAGAGTTCCTGATTTTTTTTTTTTTTTTTTTGGGGGGGGGGGGGGTTTATATCATATTGTTATTTTGTAGAAAAGTTCTGTCCATACTCAAACTTTATTTGGGCATTTCCTGTGCAGTTCCATTTTTTTTTCAGTCTGGGTTGGCACAGCACATAACACTTTAAAACATAGGGCCAATCAAACGGCTGATGGATTTAATTCAAACTGCCAATCAACCAAAGCCAATTTCTGTCTCTGTTCAAATTCATGATACACATTCAGGGCTGTCTTAACCAAATTAGTGTGTTATCATAATGTAAGTGGGTAAGTGCATACCTTGGGACATTCCAAAAAACATATTTAGTGGCCAGAAATGGATAATTCACCATATTTTTCTCACTTGGTAAAGAAACCTGCTCTTGAGAATACTGACTTTTAAGTCAGTCCATCAACTTTAAAACTAACACAACCTCAAAACTTATTGATAAAATGCTAGAAAGATTTCCCCAGTGGCATTATTTGTCATGGAGCAGCCAATGATTCTAATGTGAATGGAAGATTGATTCATACCCTAAGGAGCCCCCAAGAAGATCTGCTGCTAATAACTCGGCCCATATATTGAGAAAGTAATTTTGAGGTGTTTTTACTGATATACTAAATCACTTCAGGGCCATGGTAGCCAACCATAAAAAAATTCAAAAATGAGAAAAGGGACCAAATGTTGGCAATTTGTGAGTGAGAGAAAGTATTTTTTTGCAAATTGTGTGGCAAATAAACAAAGAGGAGTCAATATGAAGGCAATTACTTTGGCCTTATTGCGTCTGGGGCATCTTACCCCAGTGGTGCATACTGCAGTCAGTACTTGACCAAAAACTGAAGTGAACAGTTAAAAGACTTCNTTGAAGTGAACAGTTTACCGACTTCTCCAATGGTACTGACCACACTGACCTCAATTTGAAAACAAAAAACAAGTGGACCAATGCATTGCTGTAACGAGATTTTCTTTGGATTTACTAAAACTTTCTTACAACATCTTCATCCATTTCAAGCAAGAACCTGTAACCTCTAAGCACAATTTCAACAAAGACCATTTGTGTAAATCCAGCACACAGCTTTTGGACATGAGCACCACGTGGGCAAGGCACGAGGTTGGCCAGCGCTTCCAGCAGCAACCTGCACATAGCATCAGATGGCAAAGAAGGTCACAGCTGCAGCCTGCAGTGCAGCCAGGACACACCTACTTCCTACTTAAATTTTGTTGTTTTCAATTTTTTATTTCACCACACATACTTTAACCACTGCCGCACACATAAACTACAAACACAGGACCAGTGTTTATTTCTGTCTGCGGAGTTCAATGACATGGTTCATAGGGCATTTTTGTTACTTAACTCACATATTTCATTAAGCTGTAACTAAAATTTTAGTTCTAGCCCTCACTGTACCAAAATCTTTAAAATGATTGTTGAACATAGTTTGTGTGATTAAAAAACATATTATTAACTGGTGTCCAAATATGAAGAACAGGCAATTTTCCAAAATACAGAAACCTCATTAAAAAGTTAAAATCCTTCAAAGGACAAAAAACAATTTCCTATGGTTTTCTTGAAATGAACAGCCTACCCTGTCTTAAGCCAAGTATAAAAATAGACTTGTGGAATTTGAGGACCTTTAGATCTGACTTATCATTTAAAATATTTAAGTGACCCTAGGCAGAGTTCAAAACACCAGCCAGCACTCATGGCTTCCTCCCTTTTAGGAAATCCTAAATAAAGCACATGACCAATGTTTGTGCACAATCCTTTGAATATGACCTACAGCAGAGTTTCAAAACAAAATCCAGTGGACACTAATGCTGGGCAGTGTTCGTGTTACATGTTATCAGTGGGTTTCTGTCACTATCTGCTCCTCTGCCATCATAAGGAGGAGTACCTTTACTCGCACCACAATTGTTCATATCAGGCCACTCACAAAATTTTTGGCTCTTTTTCTTACTCTGACCACTAACAAATATCAATGAATTAAAACATGGCAATGATAGAACTGCCAAAAAGTAGTCAAATGATGTTTTTTTAATGGAACAAAAAGACAATTTAAACTGTAAAAATTTCAATATTTGTATGTGCCATTTGAGGATACTCAGGGCCTATTTCCAGTAGAGCTCCAGTTAAAATCATCAACTCAAATAGAAACCAGGGTTTTGGTTTGAAGAAATTTCTTTCGACAAGACAATGAGTGTTCAACATTCTCTAACTGTAAAATTATAAGCATTTATTTAGTAAAATAGCTTTAAACTGGGCTAATGCACTTAAAAGTTGTTTGTCTGTCCTTGGGCTTCTCAGCAATGTGCCACTTCAAGAACATTTTATCAGAAGTTCAATTTACAGCTGTCTTTAGATGTTACTGCATTTGATGGAATTAAGATAATTTGATCTCTTTTTTCGAAATGTTCACGCTTCACATGTGATGCCAAATCTGTTCTTGTCAATCCAAAATTTCTGAAAAACAAAATCGGATATAGAGCATATCCTGTTTTGGTGATAAGTTTAGGATGTTAAAAGATTCTTTTTGGTTGTCTATAATAGTAGGCTGACTCTTAGTCATTGGTGAGTTCATTTTGACTTGGATATTCCTGTTCTTTTTTTTCCTTAGTTTATCACAAGCAAATAAGTCAAAAATATAACTTCTGAATCTGTTGAAATACATCAAATAATTTTCTTCCGTGTCACTGCTCAATACCATAGCCTAAATCTTTGACTGATTTTTCTTTCTTTTCTTCTCTGATAAATGGGCAAATAAAACTGCACAGAAGCTATAAAATTTAGAGTTTCAAAGTAAGCTTGTGGAAGTGTAAAAAAAAGTGACCATATCTTTTGATTTTGGAAATATTTCATTTACTAGTTAAAATTATGGTCACACATTTAGTATGATTACCACATAAAAAGGCAAAAATATGGAAACCATAACAAAGAATACCAAGTCCAATCAACAGGAATCATACTGTGTTTATGGCCATCAGTCATGATTAAAAAGATTTTCTTGCAGCAGTGACGACTCAAAATGTCAATTTTTTCAGAGGATTTGGAAACGGATTTAACAACTTCAGTTCCTTTGATTTCTAAATCAAAAATTTCTTTCAAAGGAAATGTGTCTTCACCGTGGTAAAATAAAAATTCATCTGAAAACTAAATTCCCATTTCAAAATTTGTATCAAGCTTAAACTTGTTCAAAACAAAGTGCTTGAATTCAAGTACCATTTATGGATTTTCAATAATCATTATCATAATTTAAAATTGCATTATCCAGGGAAGGGTCACCAAACACCACAAAAATACCACCGACTTAAAACTGACCTTCTACATGAATTAAACTTAAATATTTTAATAGCTTCACCCCTATCCAATAACTATTTGCCCTTTCAAACTCAAAAGATCTTGCTTTGTGCCCTTGGAAGTTAAATTCCAGTGGACCATCTGAATCAATGCACAGCCTTTTGTCAAACCAGTCCCCGCAAGCTGGGCCCAGACTCGGGGCTCAAGCTGTTCCTCTGTATGGCAGTGTAAAAAAGCATGCGTCGGAATGTGAAAAATGCAATGAAAATCTGCACAGATGTGGCTGGTGACTGTGAGCAAGTGGTTCAACGTGAACATCTTGCCGTTGGCAGACTGATAACAATTAAGGAGACCTATGTGGTGGATGGACCCTTTTCAATGCAGCTGTCTGGGGTTTTTTTTCTGATGGTATTGTCAACTGAATACATATATCAGTAAATTGATTTTTTATTGGCATTCCTGTCATGCTTTGTCCCAACTGTTGATGAGTTGAGATGAAAGAGATTGGGTTTAATCTAGTATTTTAAATCTATAGCAAATGATAAAAAGAAATAATTTTTTGCTAAATGGAATTTATTGGTTTTTTGCCTAATAGTCATTTAGCTTCTTTAACTATCTTTTAGGTAAATTGTTATCACTTGACCTATTTAGGATTTAATATGGTAAGTACAAACATAAAAATCACAAAATCCTTGGGTTGGTTGTTGATGATATTGTCAAATAAATGTACTGAACATATGCCAAAGTGATATCAATGTATGCTGAACACTGTTAACAAAAATATGAAAATTATTTTCTCACCTTGTGCACAACTACAAGAATAAGTCAAGTTTGATGTTGGTGTACAAGAACCTCTATTTAAACAAGGACGATCTGATATGCAAGGGCGGTAGATTTCACTACAATTTTTTCCAGTAAAAGTTGGATGGCACAGGCACCTAGAAAATAAAAAAAATCTCATTATTTTAAAATTATAAAATTTAAAATCTTTTAATATCTATTATCCAAATATTATTATTATAATCAAAACAAAAGAGATTTCATGGTTTTTGATATGAGCATAGTGTGAATTTTGATGACCAATGATTTTATAACCAACAAAAACACACATAAGGAATTTTGTGTGTTTATCTTCAAGCTTGCACTAAATCTAGTCAATAACCTTGCTTGAAAACAAACTAAAATCTAATTCTTCATTCCACAAGCAGTAATGACGTCTGCCATTTATCATAACCACTGAGAAATTTTCAAAAATTTTTAAAAACCATATATATTCAATACCCAAAAAGTTTACCTATAAGATCCGTATGTATTCTCACAGGTTCCACCATTTTTGCATAGATTTGGTATCTCTGCACATTCGTTGATATCTGTTGTGCATGTTCCATCACGGAAGCCTTGTTGGCACGTGCAAACATACCCTGATAGTGTGTTGGTGCATGTGCCTTGGTTACGGCATGGTTGCGATGCACAATGGTCTGTTTGATTGCAATGTCTCCCTATGAATATAAGCAAAAAAGTTTAGGAATGAAGAAAGTTAATGTGACATTGGCAAAAATGAACAATTCCAACAGACTACCAAATTTTATGTAATATGATTATCAAACAATATTTGCGAAGAAAGGCTTTCCAATTCAGTGCATTTCAAACTGTTGTAATAATTTCTATGTGCTTTGTCTAAACATGGAAGCCAAACAAGATCTGCTGCCAGAGACTTTGGTCTACATAGACTCTATTTTGGCTAGCGCAAACAAAAAAATCACACAGATAGCCTTGAATTGGTTGATTCAATATATACATCTAAATATATAACAACTATGTCTGGATGTGATCTATAGATACAAAATATTTCAAAAACTGGCTACACCCCTTACCTGTATAACCTGGTGAGCAGTCACAGACGTAATTTGACAGGGAGCCATCCAAACGACATTTTCCCTGGTGGCACGGATCGTTGTAGCAGGCACTTCTTGGGTCTTTTATTTCACAGAGGGAGCCACTGAAGCCTGGAGAATCAACAAGTATATAGATGAATGGTTGTAGATTTTCAAGATGTACTTTTAACTTTTTCTTTTTCTAAGTCAAGAACATTACCGCCCAAGTCAAAGTGCCTTTGAAACACTTGTAATGTTACTAGATATCCAAAGTTATCCCCTTATGGCTTCAACACTTGTAAAAGTTCATGTTTTAAGACACTTAATTCTAAAACACTTAAAAAAATACAGAGAGTACAAAGTGTTTGTTTGACAGCTTTTTAAAAGTTATTTTAATGCATGAACTATCTGACATTTTCTATCCCTAGCCTCAGGCACTGTACACAACAGTTGCTTGCATTACTTCAAGCAGAGACCAATTTCAGAATGACCATGTGGTGAACAGTTTTCAATGTTTGTCTATCACTCAAAAATCATTTAGATAAAAAAATCAGATAATATGCACAAAGTAGGAGCAGTGAAAGACAAAACGCAGGACTGGCGTACGTGGAGGATTGCTCACCACTATGGTTGCCCCTGAGAAGAGACAAAGTCAAAAGTCAAGAAGAAGAAAAAGAAGATCAACAGTTTCAGATCACCTCCATTCTCAGTGACATCCCCCCACCCCCAGTCCAACTGACCGCTATCACCTTGACCAGCATACTTACCCAGTGGACATGTGCAGGTGGTGGTCAAGGTGGGCCCGGCCACCACCACATGGCAGGTACCGCCATTGTTACAGAAGTGGTTCTCTGGACGACAGGGGTTTGGGTGCTGACATGTTGACCCTACAAATTCATTGCCACAACTGAAAAAACAAAAAGCAATATTCGTTTAGTTTAATATGCTGATGCTGTATTTCTATGACATAATTCAATTTCTTATGCTTAATAATACTATAAAAAAAATAACACATCTGCTGTGACATAATAATATGCATCTGCTGTGACATGATAAATTAAATTTTTAAACATTTCATCAACAAAATCTTCTAAATAAAGTAAACATGTGCTGCTATGACATGAACTGGAATTTCACCTTGGAAAAATTGCTTAATTGAGTCTTATCACACACAACCCAGAGCACAGATAATTGATGTTTAGAAAACAAAGACAAGGGGCTCCATGTCTGACGGACGGGAAAAACTGTTTTCCCATGTGCTCTTCGACTCTGGAACCATTTCTCAGTCACAACAATAAACGCCAACTAGCAAGTCAGTCAAAACAGCGTTCCTATTGTTGTCATCTGCAGCAACATGACACACTGGAGTCAACAAATGAGCCCAAATCAGTCAAATGTGTGTGTTACACACTGAAATCATGTTTCCATGTTTTTTTTTCGTGGGTGATAAAATGTGTAGTGCAATTTTCCCTGCCCTTCTATCTTTCCACTGCATATATAGAAAGTATATAGCCTTGTTTTGGCTTTCATTATAAAATACCCATGAACAAATGACCTGTAACTTTAATTCAAACATATAACACTTGTTATTTTTTTCACTTACAGCTTCTTATTACAATATATTACATTCAATTTTGTTGATTAATTTTTTTTTTTTTTTTTTTGAGAAACACAATGAAGAGCTGGTGTTTGGAAATATAAAGAGCCTCTCTGTGGGGGAGGATTCTCTATTGTTTTAGATGCTTCAACAGATCTATTTTAGTACAACTTCAATTGTTCAGACCAAAACCACCTGTTTCTGATGAACTAAAAAGTGCTGCACTTGACTGATAACACATCTGGCTTGCACAAGCATCATCCACTTGTTTTATGCAAGAGGTAGCAATACTGACAATTCCTTGCCCATCTTACAAATGATTCCCCTGCTGTATGTGTATCACAAAATCCTTCCACAGTCAAGATAATTTTTTAAAACACAATTCAAGTTGCTCTCTCTCTCTCTTTATTAATTTATTTTCTGCAAATCTTCAAAAAAGTGTTCTTACAGAATGATGTATTGGATTTCATCACTTCATTCCAATCCAAAATCATCTCCTGCTAGTTCTGTAAATCTGCTAACCCTAGAAAGGTTGGTTCCATGAAGTGATGAGTGATTCACTCCATATTCTGGGATTAAAGGATTCTAGTGCAGAATGCTATCCTTATTATTACTGTGAATCATTTTGAATCTGACTAATTCAAAATGTTCGTGTTTAACAGGATGTAAGGTTCCTAAATGCACATGTCCAAGCTTTTTTTAAAGATAAGGCAATTACTCTCTAGAGCTAGAAAAAAATCAGCTGAAGTTTTTATCAAAAAAAAAAAAAAAAAATGCTTTTTATGAAATATGCAGAAACAACAATCTGAAAGTTATTCAAAGTGAGAAAATTATGAAATCTTGAAAAAAAATCAAATAAAAGTGTTCAAAATTTGAGAAGATTCGTAGCACTTCGCCTTCAGCAAACTCTTCTCTGCTTTCTTTATTTAAATTTATTGCAAAGTTGCTGTAAATGTCACGGGTGTGCCAGAGTGGTTTAACCTAGTGTCACAACTCGTACCCATTTCTAACTTGAATCATTTGAATGTGGTTAGGTCGGCTCTCATTCAAATTCCAAAGACATTGTAATATGGTAATGTTAAATAATATAATTTCTATTTCGCTATATGCGCAAAAAACATCGAGAGTTCAAAATCTGACATTGAATGTCAAATAGTTAGAAAGTGACCGCAGAATGAAAATGCACCATGTGCCCTCTACTTAAAAAGTCACGCCTTAAGTAGTTCATATCAATTGTCATGACCATGAAAATATATACTGGTGAAACATACACTTTTGACATTTTGATCCTCAATTTTTTAAGCAAAGCACAAACAAGATTTATAAATATTTCTGACTAAAAACAAGACGAGGGCTTTGTATGAAGCAGAACAAAGTGGTAACCTAGCATGTAGGGCTATCTAAACATTCACTTGGCTCTACTTGAAATTTGCATAATGAGAACAAGTAGCACTCTTCGGCCTGCCTTTCTCACACTCATGTTGTCTGGCATACTGGAGTATCACTTATAGCGGGTATCCACAGAATCTAAAACTGCCTCCACATATTTATGGACCATCTCGAAAAATTGGGTAAATATTTCCAGTTCCTTCAGCTTTTGTTTTGTTTTAGTTTTTTTTTTTCATAAATTTCATTTGTTTTTTTGCACATAATTTTAGGAAAATAAAAAAATATTTTGCTTACAAAATTTACATATCTAAAACTTCTAAAGTAAAGTATTTTAGTAATTAATAGATCAATTCAGTTATATTTAGTTTTTCATCACTGACCAAAATCCTGAACAATTCCTTTTCAAGTTCTTTAGGACAGAAGGTGGGTTATATAACATGTTCTCATTATTACACTTTTTTTGCCAACACCAAAACAAAGAGTAAGAGAATCTAAACCAATTTGCAAATAAGGAAATTCATTTCAACATTAATTCTGCTATTTTGATCTCCTCCCTTTCTAGTATCAGGGCCCTCTTTATCAGCAAATCACTCAATCACTTATGCAAGTCGCCTGGTTTTATCTTTCGTTGCAAGATACTTATTTCTCTTATCAAACTGGAAAACAGACTTTGAATTCAGCCTGATCTTCCATTGTTCTGTTCCTTGTATCAGCCCCCCTATCAACTAATGCATCTTGCTGTATCTCTCCCATCCCAGCTTGTTAAACACTTGATAAGGTAACTGAGCAAGGTAACTACCGTTTATAAACTAAATGTAATATGACAGATATTTAAGTCTGTTTTTATCTAACTTGGGAGGGGGGGGGGGGGTGATAAATACATTTATTTGAACCTGTATTAAAGAGTTAAGGTTTATGGAATGGTTTGGAGTATGTTGACAATTTCTCAATTGTCCTCAGTTTGCATGAGATATGTAGTGTCTAAAATGGAGTTTCACCACCATGAAAGACCTTATCTTTGTTACTACAGAATAACCTCAAGAAATAAAGAAAGTAAAAACCTAGCTTAACTGAGTCAATTGCTTTCGCTAACAATACAGCTTTTTGCTAGAAGTGATAAGACCAAAGACAAAAAAGCTATATTTGTCTGTTAGATTGCATCACCCCTTTCACCTTTACTTTTGAACGTTCACACAAAAAAGAGAAGAATAACAGTTATTGAAATCACCAAGGGGAACTAAGTACGGCGCCATTCACTCAGCATTGTACGACTATTGCCTTGTTAATGGGAATACCCAAGACTCCCAATACCAGCTTAGATACACACAGAGAAGTTCCTGATTCTCTCATCAATAATTCCAGGTGAGACAATGATCAATATTGATCTGTCACCTGGGGAGAGTTTCCTGCAATTAGTTAAACATACCTGTTCTTGCTGATCTAACTGCAGGGAATTAAGCTCCAATTAGCAACAGGCAGAAAACACACTGTTGCATATCTACAAGTGTATCTCGTGCCTTTCATCTCAGAAGGAAGCGCACTATTGTTTTCTCCCTGGGGTATTCTATTTCAAGTGCCAGGATGAATATTTGTTCATTACTAAGTGGTACAGAAAATGACAGCCTATGAGTAATATATGACCACTGATTTGGCACTATTATATAGAATATGCATAATGACAACATCAACACAAATGACATGGTCACATCAGGTGAGATTAGAGAAGGAAAGAACTTATCTATTTATATATTTTCCCATTTTGCAAGTATAGGCCAGCAACTTCTTCCTGAAATTACAACTACGACACTTTTTGTTAAAACAACTGCAAAAGTTTAAATCCAAGGTCCTCCTGTTCAATACTTCTAAATTGTGACATTGCACCTCTAGTCACTGTCTACTGCATTTACTAATGAGACAAGAAATGTATGATTTCAGCTTTATAAACAATTGTTTATCCACAAAGAGTGTCAAACATAGTTGAACTCATCTGTGAGCATGAAAGTGGGGACTCCCCCCCCCCCCCCCCCCCACCTTTACAGTGAGTCTGTATGTGTGAGTGTGTGCGTGTAAGATGGCAATACCCTGATTTCATTTCAACATTATTTGAGATGAAATTTGAACTTTAGCATACTTGTTCATTTCTATCCAATTCCCTTTCTGCAACAGTCACAATCAATAAAACAGGCTATATTATTTAGCCAAACATCTCTTAAACTGCATTTTAGCTGCTAAAAATTCAAGTGACCTGATTGATTGTTGAAATTCTGATGATTTGACTTTTTTTTTTCCACTTAAAACTCAGTCAAATAGCAGTCAGTCAGAGTTGTGTCTGCCAGACAGATTTCCAGATTAAGTGAAATATAAACTGGGCCCAATAGTTAAGCTCAGTATTTCCAGTGTGAGGCCCTGGTCTACATATGGGCCACGTTCACAAAGCTAGAGGGTTCAAATCCTCTCATTTTGCTTCGGTTTTGAACGTCAGTGAACTGCCTACGGTAACTCTTTAATGCAAGACTTAGTACACTTGAGCATGTGCATAAATACAGGTTGATTGCAATCAGCCAAAGATTGATAGCTTGACCACATACCATGGACTCACAATCAAGAGACTTTTTTTAAATGCATGTAAATGCACGGACTGAATCAGTTGGGGGAAAAAAAGAACAAGGCTAGACGTCACCATATAAAAAGACCCTGAGTGTGCTTCAATATGTCACAGGAATCTGTTGACGTGTGTGCTTCATGCCTCTAAATGGTGACCTCCGTTTGGTAATTTTAACCAAGACTTGTGCCTTGTGGTGTATAAATCTAAACAATGACCTCTGCTTTTCCGGATTCTGTTTTTGTCAAGTAAGATTTATATTTCAACTGCCGAAAAACAGTTGCTGCGTCTTGTTTGGTTTGGAAATGCAACATTTTTT